AAGGGCCTTTGCTCAGCAAATCCTTGGGGACAGAGTGGTTCTGCAAGTGGTAGGTGGAATAGCCTGGTCTCCCAGCTGGATCCCAAAGCTTGAATGTCTCGGTGTCTATTTGGCTGATGAGGAAGAGGTGTGTGAGTGCAGGATGATGCCAGGTAACGAGGGCAGGTGACTCCTGTCGCCATGTCTACCAGCTCAGGTGGCCCTGGGGACCGAGGGCAGGCAGGAGGAATGAAGCTGAGTTGTCTGAGCAGCCTCCGTGGCTGTCCCCTCAGGTATGGCACTTGACTTGTACTAAACATGTAGGAGTCTCAGGGGCCGACAGAGAATGCTGGGCACAGCGATTGCCCCTACTCTGCCCCCTGCCCATCAGGCAAGGGGTCCAGGACCGTTGAGTTTGCCCCATTGAACGAGGACTCAGGAAGCACGTGGAGGTAGGGGGATAAGCACCAGCAGAGCCTTGGGGCAGCTCACTGGGCAGTTCTGTGGACCACAGGGCTCAGGTCGGAGCACATGGGGTGGGGTATACGCCCAGGGTTGACTCCACTTCTCAGAAGCCATGGGAATGCAGGCCCCAGCCACAGGCCCAGGCTCCTTCCTGTCCCATCAGCCTCCAACCCTGCGGCCATCACCGGGGCCACGGGCAGTAGCTCTGGCTCTGGTGTAAAGTGAAGAGCTGGCCTTCAGAGCCTGCCAGTGTGGGCTCTAAAACTTTCAGCAATTATTCCCTGGGCCTCTGTTTTCCCCTTGGCATGACAAGGACACCAAGAACACTGTCGTGAGACTGCTGTGAGAACTAGGTGGGTTGATGTGTTGGTGACCTTGCAGAGGGCTTAGCACAGGGTCCCACAAAGGACAAGGCTCCTTCTCCTGCCATAGGGGAACACCTGTGTGACTGGCATGGCTCTCTGTGTGAGGCTGGTAAACCCAAACACCTCTAGAGCCAGACAGGTGCCTCACCTGTGTGAAGCAGCAGCTTTGAGATGATTGGAAGGGGACAAAGTGGGGGGAGCGTGACAATGGCATCTGAGAGGTGGCCACCAGCTTTACCCCGCACTGCATGTCTACACTTGGGTTTGCACAAGCAAACAAGGCCAGAGGGATGGTCTCCCCAAGAGTCAGGGGGACCCTAAGGGAGAGTCGGAGCCTCCCTTGCTTCACAGAGTGCCCAGGTCAGGCCCTTAAACCGGCATTTCTCCAGCCAAAAAGCAAAGCCTCTCTCCGCACACACTGTCCAGGGCCTCAGGGTTTGGTCTGGGAGTTTGGCTGGAGGCTGGGATTCCTGGCAGGACAGGACAGGACCCTGGCTGGGCTCCTCTCCACAGCCGGAAGCCTGCCCCTGGGTCGAGTCTGGGTCTCCTTCTGTGGCACCTTGCCCTGAGTCCCGGGGCAGGGTGGAAGAATGAGGCAGCCTCTTCCCTGCTTCCTACCCTGCTTCCTACCCTTCCTGGAGGTGGGGTCTGTGCTGTTGGGATGTCTTTGGGGGTATTTCTCCTTAGAGAGAGCTAAAGAGACTGGGGTGATGAGCTCTGTCTCTGGATATACTGGGGCAGAGACACGGAGAGACTGGGGACACCCAGATCTGAGACTGGCCGCTTTTTATTAAGGGCTGTACTGAGCAGGACGCTGGATAAGACGCTCTGCAGATAATACCTGTCTCCTTTAACCCTCACAGCTCTACCAGGAAGGTATTAGTTGTTCCAAATTACAGCTGAGGCTCAGAGAGGTTGGGACACAAAGCGGGGATCACACAGCAAACAAGTGTTAAGTCTGCCTTTGAAGCTCTAGAGTGTCTGAAAGATGGGTGTCTCAAGAGCCCCCACTCTTCTTTGGGAAGGGCCTCTGCCTCTTGGCCCAGCCCCCGAGACGATGAGAACACATCTGTGCAGCTCATCCCAGACACCAGGGACCGACGGTTCCTGGGCTCCCTGGACTTAAGAGATGAACGCTAACATCTCTTTGCTGCCCTGGCACTCAGAAATCCACCTCCCCAGGTGGGGAGAGGGAGGATCAGCATTTGTTCACACAAGGAGACAAAGTTTTATAAATTGCCATGTGCTAAGCAAAGGCAAGATGATTGCAACTTACTTTCCCTCATGGACATAATGACTCTGCTAATGAAATATAAAATTGGAGTCTATGTTTAGTACTTCGTTGGTGACATCAAACCCAGAGGCAGAATCTATAGGAGTTGGTGGTGAGCAAATTCTATGGGAAAGGGGCACCAAGGTGCTGTCCAGCAGAGAGCAGATGGCCGGTCAGTGAACCCTACATGAGTGAATGAATGGGCAATGCATTATGTCTCTCTCCTTGGTTCTCTAGTTTAATGTGTGTGTGTGTGTGTGTGTGTGTGTGTGTGTGTGTGTGTGTGTGTGTGTGTAAAACAGAATAAGGCCAAGTGGAGAAGAGGAGAAAGAAGAGAGAGCGAGGGAGCAGGGGCCTTAGCCAGCCAGCTGGGAGGAAGGTGAGCATTCACACCTTTCGTGCCTCCAGACCCAAGGCTCCTCCACCTGGAGAAGGACGAGTGCCCTCCGAGTGGGAAGGGGCCTCCTGGAGAGAAATTGGAAGAGACGCAGGTCTGGTCTGTACCTGTGAATATCATGTTGGCTTAATGCCATCTCACTCGGGATTTGGACTACACAGGACTTCTGCACGACTCCAGAAACCCAGTTCGAGGCCCAGTGGTTAGAGACTGACTGGTCCCCACCTTCTGGAAGGAAGCCAGGGAGGAGGAAGCAGGGGGCACCCCCACAGTGCAGCCTGACATCTGGGGTCAGGGCTCCTCTCCAATCTCCCCACCGTGTTCAAGCCAGCCTTGCACCGGGAGCTTCATAATCCCACGTCTTCAATTTATTAATCCAACGCCATCTGTGAGGCGCTGCCATGGGCCCCCCTGGTTTCTCTCCATCTGAACGGTTGCCGCTTATTTAACTATGCTTCAGTGGCTGCTGTTGATGCCAAATGAGAGAAAAACAACCACCACCTTCTCTCTCTAGTACAAGTTCACACTCAGCATGGATAATCACAAAGCCTGCGCAGGCCGACAAATCAAAACAAATTAGCAATCAGCACAAACAGCCCTCTTTGAATGATGGTGTCAGGGGAGCCAGCAGTGGAAGAACGGAGGGGGAGGGGCTCCCCTCTCCTGGTCAGAGGCCTCACCGAAAAGTGCAAGGAAGCAGCCAGTCGTGTCGGGAGGATGCAAACACGCAGTCACCTGTGGGTGTGTTCCCCAGAGTCGCAGCTCAGGAGTCTGAAGCTCACGTCCTGCCTCAGCGTTTTGTTGCAATGGAGTCTTCTTTTTGCCGGTTTGGAACGTTGCCCCGAAGATCTCATTTGCATAACTGTTAGCGTTTGAGGGTGAGGTAGTGAGACTGATGCAAGGCTGCAGAAAAGGGATGACTTTTTTCATTCCAACGGCATGGTCAGTAGAAGACCCAAGAGTGAATAGCCTATAGCTCTGAACCTCTGACTCAGCCCCCAGGGGAAGTTGGGCGGGGGAGTGTGGAGAGGGAGGAAGCAGGACATCACCTCCCCTCAGCTGCTCCCAGCATTGCTCCAGGCCTGCCTGTTGCATGATGGACTGTGTGACTTGGTCACTGGCCCCTTCTCTTGCCACTTGAGCAACTCTCCCAAAGGGAGGACAGTCTTGTAGCCCCCTGGTCCCTTTCCACCAGCACGGGAATGTCTTAGAATTTCTGCCCTTGGAGAAGAGCCAGATGGCAGTGGGGTGCTCAGAGGTGAGGACTCATTGTCACCTGCCCCAGCTTGCTCCCACCTTACCTGGCCACTTGGGAACTGTGGGCCGGAGGAGGTCAGCGTCAGCTCCTCGAAATGTGGGAGTCTCGCCCCCCAGTGGCTCTCCCAATCTTTGGGACTGTCGTGTGGGGGAACTGGTCAGGAGGAGTGCGTGACCCGACTCCTGACACAGACCCCTGCTTCAGCGGATGGATGTGGAAGGCGGGCAGATAGCCCAGCGGAACCAGCGTAGAGCAGACGCAGAGCAGCCTGTCACCCAGGGACAGGCTGGGATGCACAGGCAGGCGGGTGGGCAAGCTGAGCCAGTTTCACTTCCTCCTGGCCGTGCTTTCAGGGTGAGATGTGCCCATGAGTCGCTCCATCACCTGAGATCTGTTATAATGCAGCTTAGTGGCCAGTACAGTGCCCGCCGTCACTTGTGGCCATAGACATGAGAGTCTGAAGTGACATGGTGTCCGGAGCACAGAGACACCCAGGTGTGTGTGGGTGCCAGACAGCCACAGGAGGCTCCTGCCCGCCCACAGGTCGCCCCGAATGCCCACCAACGACCGTGGCCCACGTTTCCTCTTTGCCCTGGACGGCTTCCCCAGGCTCGACCCTCCCTCCTCCAGAGGGTCAGGACAACTTTCCGCACTGGCGCTTGTCTTGAGGGAAGCAGAGAGTTTCCGTTGGCAAAGAGAAGGGCAGGTAAGGAGGTGAGGGTGAAGACGCATCTTTCCAGGCCCTCGGCCCCCGGAATCACCCCTCTGTGTCCTGGTTAACGGAGGAGGAAGGAGAGGAGCTCCAGCCAGGAACCACCCACCGAGCCGCTGGAAACACCTGCCCATGGCTGGTACCCGAGGGCTCTGCAGAGGGTGTGCCGAGCGTCCTCTTGCTCCCCATCTGTGCCACCCTGAATACAGCAGAGGGAGGAAGGGGCCAAGGACACACTCTGGTCCTGGGCCTCTGTGACCACCTGGGTCTTTTCAGGTGTCTTCCTCAAGTCAGGCAGCTCCCCCTACAGATAATGCAGCTAGGGGTGAAAGAGGCTTAGGTGGGTCTCCACGGCAACCGCAGATTAGGAGCTGGCCCCGCCCCTACGCCAGAGGAGCCTTGGCTCCAGCCTGCAGGGGGACAGGCGGGCTCACTCCACCAACACCCGGCTGGATGTCAGCGCTGTTTTCTTCCCGCACAAACTCTGAGAGACAAAGGGAAAAGCGTGAGGCTGCAGCCCGCCACAAGAAAGAGAGGAGGGAGACGCTTAGGATGTAGTTGTCTCTCTGCCCTGCCCTCCCTCGGCTGCCGAACTTTCTGCTTTTCCCTGGAAAGATCCAGACTTTCTCTCCTCCCAGACTGGACAGCGGAAAGCAGGACTCTGCCGGACCTTTCACCTCAGCAGGGGCCGGCCTCAGAAAGCCAGGTAAGAAGGCCGGCTCCCCAGGAGACAGCGGCTTCCACACCCAGAGAGCTGCCGTGCTTTTAGAAGTTAGAGCAGGGGCCGGCCAGTCGAGCTGGGAGGGGTGGCAGGCTGGGGCCAGGGCCCAGGTGGCCCCAGGGAGGCCCGCCAGCTCTCAGCCAGGTCATGAGAGTGTGTGGGCTTGAAGCATCCTCAGGCTGTGGCCTGTCCTTGCTTTATAAACCCTCGGAGAGCCCCAGCTTTTGTCTGCTCTGGAGCCAGGGTGTCTGGGAGCACCCAGCCCTAGCCTCTCCCCTTCTGCTTTACGGGGAGGATGCGGTGGGGGGAGGGAGGTCAACCCAAGTCAGAGATTCTCTCGTTGACCCGAGAGCTGTGACTTGAGCACCTACAAAGCATGTGGTGCAGAGTCTTGGGACCAGGACACACGGGTGATGGGTGGACTCAGTTGCCCAGCCACAGAGCTTTCTGCGAGTCGCCAGTGACATGCCCAGCACAGCAGGCCTGGACGGTGTGGAGAGGACCGAGTTGGGAGGAAAGTTGGGAGCTGTGGCTGTGGGGTCAGGGTAGAGTGTCCTGGGGATCAGCCCCCTCCAGCTGTGTTCTGTAGGACCTGGGCACTTGCCCCTCCTGGTTACACCTCTGCCTCAGAATGAGGAGGAATGCCATTCATTCATTCATTCATTCATTCATTCAGGAACCACTTATCAAGTGCCTACCGCATGCCAGCAGATTGAACAACTTCAGTGCTTGCCCTCTCAGAGCTCATAGCCGGGTAGGGAGAGGGGAAAACAACATAAAAAGTGGGAAACGTGTTTGTTTCCGATGCTACAATAACAAGCCCCACTGCCAGGCACCAGCAGGCCCAGGGTCCTACCTCAGTGCGGGGCAGTGACTGCCAGGCCGCAGGGGGTTGCTGACATTCAAGGTGGATCCTAAAAGATGAGCAGGTGCTGGTGAGGTGGGAAGAAGCCCATGTGTCTGGCTGAGTCACACCTGGCTTGGTGAATGACTTTCATTATTTTTCTGTGATGCCAAAGAAAAATAAGGCCAATTTGCAATCTGTGAACTTGGTTTGGCCTTGGACCTTGGCCAAAACAAGGTGTATCAGAGAGGGAGCCCCTCCTCTCTGCACCTGCTTCAAGGCCTCTGTCCAAGCCCAGGATCCAACTTCAGCAAAGCACCCTGCCTGCTTGGTGGGACAGCAGGCTCCCCGGGACAGCCTGGCGCAGGCGCTCAGGGTCCTGGGTTCGGTGCAGGGCAGCCCCTCGCCCTGGCCTGTGGCTCCCCACCTCAGCTGTTAGAGCCCAGCTGAGACTGGAGCCTGGGTGGGACCTGCTTTGTACCAAGAAAGCAGCTTCCTGGCCCGGACTGCGCTGTCCGTCCTCAGCTGGCAGGGCTGGCGGCCATAGTACGCACTGTGGTGCTCTTCCTGCAAGGCAGTTGGGGCCTTGCTTCTGACTCTGAGGGTCCAGGCCGCACTGTACCCACCACCAAGACATCCTGGTCCCTGTCCCTGGCTCCCTTCCTGCTGTGAACCATCTGGGACCAGGCTCTTCTTGCCCTTGAGCCATGGAGCTGGTTTTTCTAGCGTAGCCAAGCATCTAACGAGCCGCAGCTGGCAGTAGCTTCTCCCAGGGAGCTACAGAAAGACACTATCCTCAGGGATGTTCAAAAATAGGCTGAAGGGAAGGCTGGGAGAGCGTGAGGGTGGAGGGGGTTCGAGGGGGAGCAGAAGAAGGAGGGGGAAGAGCAGAGAGTGGAAGGGAAGGGTTAGAGACGCCACAGGGCAGAGACTGGACAAGTGAGAGCTTTCCTCCTGGTGCTGGGTAAACTGAGGCTTCGCCCCGAGTCTCCCCTTCACGAGAACAGAGGGCATGCTCAGCTCCCCCAGAAGCCAGCTTTGGGACAAGGCCAGGCACAGGGCCGGGGTCCAGCTCGTGCCAAGCCAGCGAGGTTCCTTACTTTTTGAAAGCCTTTGGACTCATTCTCAGCAAAATGTTTCTAAATGCATAAAGTTTATAGGATTCCACAAGAAACCAGCTACATTGAAATGCAACTATCGACCTGTTTTTTAAAAACAACTTGAGATATAGTAATACATGTGCCTCTCCATCAACACGTAAAATAACAAGATCTAGTCTCAGGTCTAATCTAACACACACCATGATTTCATAGTAATGATGAGCTTGCATGATATTTCAAGAAAGGTATTAAAGTGTTATAAAAATATCTGCGATCTTGCTGGAGATAAAGGCGTGGAGTGACGATACTGTTGCGGTTGTGGACCACACTTAGAACTAACGGAAACACTGCATCTCAGCTAAAGTCAGTGGAAATAAAGACGGGTTTTTTCCCCTGATCTGAGATCGTAAACATCTGAATTGTCCTTGCGGGCCCCAGGGCAAGAATCGCTGCACCGAGGGGGACGGACAGTCATAGGCCTCGTTAGTTTGTTTGGCACTTACACAAACATTCCTTTATTGGATATGCGCTGTAACGAGAAGTAGGTACTCTATCCCCTCCTCTTACAGACGGGGAAACTGAGGCTTGGAGCTAGGAAGGTGACTTGGATACAGGCAGGGAGGGGAAGGCTGTGGGAACTGGACTTAGGTTTTCCCCGCTGAAGCATGCACTCGCCGCGCCCCAATACCGGGCGCCTCCTCTGGGGGGGAGACCTGCCCAGGGCGGAGTGGGCGCGCCTTCATTGTTGTGGTAGCCAGTTCACAGCTGTGCCCCTGCGGACAGGGGGACTGCGCCCCTAGGCACGCCCCTCAGCAGTGTGGCGGTCGCTTGTCTACTTATTCCCATCGCTCTCTGGAATGTAGGCTCCTGGAGAGAGCCCGGCTCAGAGCGCAGTGACAGGCGGGCAGTGACATCACCGCGCGCAGTGACATCACCGCGCACAGTGACGTCACCGGGCACAGTGACAGGTGCTCTCCCGCCTGTGTTGGCTGAGTCATGAGGGTCAGAACTCAGGCCTGGGCTTCAGGCCCCAGCCCCCGGACCCGCCTCCACACACCGCCGTGTGCTCCCTCAACACCCGCACCCAGTGTGAGAAACGCCACTGCGCCCTGAACGAGCGGGACAGAAACTGCGGGCAGGGCTCTGAGGAGCAAGCTAGGCCTGCTGGATGGAGTGAACTGAGAAGGAATCTGGTGAAGACTGAGTTTTGAGCTAGACTTCTTCCAACTTTTAAATTACGCATACACTCAAACATTCAGAAAAGTTGGAAGAACAGTGCAGTGAACACCCCTAAGTTACCCCCTAGATTGCACGATTGTCAGCCTTTTGCCACATTTGCCCTGTGCGTGTGTGGTGCGTGTGTGCACACGACTTGCACGTAGGGCACTGCAGACGTCAGGACCCTCCGGCCAGGACACATGGGCGTTGCCTCCTGGGGCGGGGGGCTCTCTGTCCGTACCCCCCGTAGCCACACTCCCACCTGTATGCCTAAGGAAATCAGCGCTCATTCCCTCACCTCCAGCTCATCTTCCCATTTCCCCGAATGTCCTACTTGTTTCTTAAACAAGGATTCAATCAATGTTCAGGCCTCAGAGGCAGGTGGTGGGTGCCGTTGACTGAAGAGAAACAGGAATTCATTGTTGGAAGGTTCCAGAGTCACCATGGTGTGCGCTCCCCTGACCAGCACGAGCAGGAGTGGGAGGGGCCTTGAAGCTCACACTGGCCAGTCCAGGTCTGTGGGGCGGGAGCAGGGTTAACCCACAACAGGGGAGGGCGAACCCCGGTGGTACAGAGCGTGCAGCGAAGCCCACTCTGTTCTGATGGAGCTTCGGGGTGTCTCTGTCGGACCACACCTGCTGTCACCCCCTTCCCAGACACTCAGTCACAGTCAGGCTCACACGGGTCTCAGCTGTGGGTCAGGTCCTAGGAGGCCCTGGGATAAACCAGCCACTGCTGTGGTCTGGCCAGCCCTGCCTCTCCCCCTCCCTCCTCTGCCCTTAAGAACTTAATCAGACCCGCTGAAGAGCCTCCTGGGAGAACAGCTGGCCCCAGAGACAGAAATAGCCAGGCAGAAATCCTGGCTCTGAAATCCTGTCTCTGTCGAAGCCTCCAGTACTTGCCAGGGTTGGAGGTGGAGAGAATGGAGGGTTGGGGAAAAAAACAACTCAGAACACGCCCCTGGCCCCGTGAGACCCCTGGGCCGAGAGGCTGAGAGCCCACCAAACCCAGGGCTCACGCAACCTCCCCACCCGGCCCCTGCCATCTGGCGTGGGTCGAGCACCTGTCTGTAGAGGCCAGCCCAGGTCAGGGCGCAGGCCTCAAGCCCTGGGGAGAGGCCCCTGCCCAGACTACATTCCTGCTCTCGGGCTTTCTTCTTGCTGAGCCCCACCTGGGGTGAGGGGTCTTGGAGGTCAAGGACATGCGTCCACCTTGAGGCCACTTTCCCTCTAGATCAGGCCTCCGGTATGGAGACCCGGAAACCCCTTTCCGGACAGCCACCTGTCCACACCTAGAGGCTGAGCAGGTGTCCCCCAGGGGCCCAGCCTCCCGAGGGTGGAGGGTGTGGACAAGCCTGAGAGGACCGAAGAGGCAGCAGCTGGTGGGACTGAGGAGGCGCCTTGGCCGTGAAGGCTTTGGTGTCCCAGGCCTGTCTGCAAGGCCCCTCAAGGTTGGGGACAGGCTGAGGGTCGGGAGCTGGTTCAACTCTTGCTGCCATGCGCCAGCAAAGAACTCGAAGAAGCCAAGAATCCTCAGTCTAACCTGACCCTCCATGTTGTTATAAAAGTATAATCAACAAGGAAGGAAGGCATACATATTTTAATGAACAGTTTTGAGCTTCATTTTAGACTTACAAATGTTTAGAGGCATGGCGTGAGCCTGAGCAACTGGGCCCTGGCCAGACCGGAAGTGGCCCTGATGTGAGTCTTTGGAGGCCGGTGTGTCATGGAGACCAGGGTGTCTCCAGCGGCTCCCACCTCCCCTTTCCTCTATTTCTCTCCCGGCCCCAGGAGGATCCTCTGTTGCCAAGTCACTCCCTCGCTGCCTCCTTTCAGCTCCAACACAAATCTAGACTAAGAAGAAAAAAAGGCCTTGTAAGGGGATAATGCTTGACCTAAATATGTGTCCCTCTACATGCTTGACCTGAATATGGATCCCGTAAAGGGGAGAAACGCTGGGGTGTGAAGGAACTCTCTGGGTAGACGTCTAGCTCAGACACATAGATACACACACACACACTCACACGCCGGGGGCCAGACCCGCTGTCGGGTGCTGGGTCGTGGGTAGGGTGACGCACAGCCCTGGTTTCTCACTCAGTCTGAGAGGGAGGAGGGCGCGCAGGTGACCCCAGTTTGCTGAGACTGCGCTCTGATGGGGCCACAGCCTGGGAACAGAGAGATGAGGCACCGGAAGCTGGTCAATGGAGCGTCAGGAAGCCTGCTGAAGGGACGGGAGTCTGAGTTAAAGGCAGAGGGAGGACTTATTCAGGAACTGAGGAGACTGCTAGTGTTCTAGGGACCTGCAAAGGCCTCAAGGCAAGAGGAGGCGGAAGTCCTTAGGGGGAGGGAGTTAGGGGCAGGGGCTTGGAGGGAGCTGTTGGGGGAAGACAGAGGGGACGTTCGGTGGCTCTGGTTTAGGCATCAGCTTCACCACTGAAGACAGCAAGAGCCACATGATGAATGTCCCTGAATCTACATGAAGGGATCTTGAGGACGATTGGAAACCATGGAAAGTCTTCAAGCATCTCAGGGCTTAAGTGCAGGATGACTTAAAGACCCTCGCAGGCCTCAGGCACTTGCGGGGGCCCCATTCCATGCCCCATGAAGCATCGTACAGTGAATCGACATCAGGACTATTTTTAGATGAAACATTGGAAAGGAGTTTCATAACTCTGATGTGGAATTATTATTAATTCTGTTTTTGCAAGTTTTTATTTCTATTTTGAAACCAGTGAAACGGTTTTCCCGCATATATAGGCTCCAACGAAATTACACTTACGAACATGGAGCTGTAGTCACTGCTGAGTGGGCTTCAGTTCCGAGATGGAAAAGCCCTGGAGGTGTGTCTCACAACGGCACGCACATGGTCGGCACTGCTGTGCCCCACGCTCGAAATGCTTAAGGTGGGAAATTGTGTATTATTTTTATCACAATAAAAAATAAAGATCAGATGACCTATGACAGGAACCCAATGAACAAAAACAAACAAATGAGGGAAATGGAACCAGAGGCCTGGAAACAAGGAACAGACTGACAGCGACCAGAGGGGGTGGGGGATAAGGGAGGAAAGAAGGGGAAAGGCCGAGTTAAAGAACAAGAATAAGTGACCCGTGGACATGGACAACAGGGTGGGGATTGACTGTGACAGTGGGGAGGGGGTGAGGGGGAAGAGCAACGGGGGAAAATTGGAATAACTGTAATAGAACAACAAAAAAATTTTTTTAATCGGATCAGAGGATTAGTCGTGAGTTGCCAGTTAGGAGGCAGAAGCTATATTTTTGGCAGATGGTCAAGACTTGAACTAATGGAAGGAGAGAAGAGAGTGAACAGATTTGGGAAGCTCATAATATTTAAATTTGGGAGAAAAAAACCTGAATTGGATATAGAATTTTCCAACGAGGCAAAAGGACAAGACAAGGTTGGTGCATCAGTTTGGGCAAGTAGGTTATGACCACCACCAAGGCAGGACCCAGGAGAGACTGCATGCAGGCAATGGGGAGAGAGATGGGGAGTTTGGGGTGAAGGTGCAAGTGGAACCCTGATCTGGAGCTCAGGAGACAACTGGATTAAGGATTTTGACTTGGCAACTATCAACATTGAGGTTGTGATTGGAAATGTGTGAAAGGAGAATGATTCAAATGAAGGGAAAGCTTTAGACAGGGCCTCAGGCAACAGCCACAGCCCACAGAAGTCCAGGAGAAGAAAAGGTGCCCCCTCCGGTGTTGAGAGGGTCTCCAGGGGTTGCACCAAGGCAGGGGCAGACCAGGGCGGGAGACAGACCCAGGGAGTGGGGAGACCAAGGAGGATGGTCTGGAGGTAACCATGGAAACAGCAGTTTCACAGGGAAGAGTGGTCCCTGGGGTCGTCTGTGATGGGAGGCCTCGTAGGCCCCGACTTAGGCTAACGAGTAAGGGTGTGGCCGGCCACTGAGAGAACTCCTGCCTCCTGGTGTACCGCGGGCTGTAATAAGAGCATCGTATCTTTCTGCTTTGGGCCTCACCAGTCTCCTCCTCCTTCAGTCATCTTCCAGGCTGGTAAAGCTCAAGTGCCAGTGGCAGTGTGTCCTGGTGGTACTGAGGGGCACCCTGGGTGTGGAGGTTGAGAGAAGTCAATCAAAGAAGCTTTCCTGGGAACCAGGGTCAAGGCCAGCTTTGGAGACATCTTAGGGTGAGGCTCAGTGGGGAGGAGGGGTAGGTATCAGTCTGACAGGGGAATCCCACGTGTCCTTCGGCCCCACAACTCTCAGACCAGTATCTCATCTGCCAGTAATATTTTCGGAAAAGTTATAGAGCCCTGGCTGGTGTGGCTCAGTGGATTGAGTGCTGGCCTGTGAACCAAAGGGTCACCAGTTCGATTCCCAGTCAGGGCACATGCCTGGGTTGCAGTCCTGGTGCCCAGTAGGGGGCGTGCGATAGGCAATGACACATTGATGTTTCCTCTCCCGCTCTTTCTCCTTCTCTACCCCTAAAAAATAAATGAAATCTTAAAGAAGAAGAAAAGTTATAATTAGGACTCCCCTCAAGTCCACCATAAGGACAGAACAACAGACGCTCAGCTCTGTTACGGGGGAGAGACCGAGGGGCTGCGCAGGCCACCATCAGGGCTCCACGGGCTCCTGGGGGATATCTGAGTGACGGGAGAGTGCAAAGCCAGGGGTCCAGAGGAGAGAGTGTCTTTCCTGTGACCTCTGACACATGGCCTCCTAGTCAGGGTAGGTCAGATCTATGGGACTTGCTCCTTGAAGCTCCGTAATGACTTAAGCATCATTTACTCATTCCCTTGTTCAGTTATTCATTCCCTCATTCATGTGTTCATTCACCTGTTCACTTGTCTGACATTCACTCTGCACCGGCACCAGGGGTCCGGAGGGGCGTGAGGCGCCATCTCTGCACACAGTGACGTGCGGCGCCGAGGGAGGGAGACAGTCACGCTCCGTAAAGTGCTCCTGGTGCTAGGAAAACGTCCGTGCAGAGCACCATCAGGGGACAGCTGTCCCAGCTGCCTGTGAGGTCGGAGGGTCAGGAAAGGCTTCAGAGGGGAGTGGACCCTGGAAGTGAGTGTCCAGGCAGAGGGAGGGACACTGGTGAAGGCCTGAGCTGTGAAATGGGCCAGCACGGCCGCTCGCCCCTGCGGGCACTACTGACCCTGCATATCTGGAGTGTCCTGCAGTGAGGTCGAATGAACGCCCGGAATGAGACCTTTTGGTATCAGGCATCCACCTGACCCACGTACTTGTAAAACCACAAACGCTCCGGGAAGCGCAGTACGTTCAGTTACAAGGACTCCCTTCTCCTGAAGTGATGGGATCCCTTGGCCTTGGACTGAGGCTGCTGGTGCTCAGGACGGAAGCCGGCCCACCTCAGCCCTCTGAACACACGAAGCGGTTAAGGACTGTGAAGAAAACGTCCTAACTGTCCCCGACACCAGGAGCAGGGGTCCGGGTTGGTTTTTCCCTCCCAAACTCCCAGGAAGGACTCGGTGGAATCTGAGGTCCTGTCGTGGGTGGCAGGCTCAGGCCGAGTGGAGGATCAGAGCTTCTACATCCTCATCTGGATGGTTGCTGAGGCAATTGGCTGCTCAAGCCTTCGTGGGTAAGTCGAAAGTTTGGTTCGCGCCACTCCGGAAGGCTACTCCCACCCGTAATGATGCCCCATCTGTGCCTGGTTCTCCAGCACTAACAAGGGCATTTCTCCGGGCTACGCATCGCCACTGTGGGGTGCTGGGAGGGCTGCCCAAGGTGTGCATGTCACCTCGGGAGGTGACGCAGGCCTTGCGACCACGCTGTGGAGACCGTGCTCAGTGGATCTCTTCACTCCGCTGCGTCGGGAGAGTCTAGGCGGGAAGACGACCAGCGGATCCTGGAAGGGGGGGCCCCCTGGAGGGGCAGGGAGTAGAAAGGGCAGGTGGGCCATCTCGGAGACCGACTTCAGATTTGAGCCCAGGAATGGCTCTTGCCTTCACTGTTGTCAGAGGCGCAAACCCTGACAGGCAGCGGGGCACACCTGAAACGGCAGCTCATCCAGCCACTCACCTGCTCGTCCACCTTCCATTCGTTCACCTAGTCAGTCAGCCAGTCAGCCACCCAGCCTGTGTCGGGTACGACTCTGTGGGGACGTGCTGCTGAGTTAGGTCCCCGCTCTCACCGCTGATGCTGCCCGCACCCCAGGTGCGGGTCCTCCACCTGGGACGCCTTCTCCATCAGTCCGTGTGTCTGATCCTGCCTCACCCTGACTCACCCTGCTCTCACCCACAAAGCCTTCCGTGGTCCCTTTCACCGTCTAGTCGTTCCTTTCCTCCCCCCATCGGTGCCGACCCTGTGCTCCAGCAGTCACATTTACTTCTTTTCATGGGTGTTTTGGTTTTTACTCTGCACATCTGGTACCACGGGAGACTGAGGGGTGGATAAGTGAATCAGTAAATGGAGGGCAAGTTGCGCCTTTTTCAGGATGAATGGAAATGGTTGACATTTTCGGGATGATGTCAACCCCGTATAATTCTAAGCTTCCTTCAGCAACAGGCCGGGGCATTGAGGAACTTAGGGTGTTTTCCTGCTGGGTTGGCTTGGGATGTAGGCATCTGTGCTGTGCATGTGTGTTTCCGCCCTCGAATCGTAGGGGTAAGACTGTGCTCAGCCACACACAGTAGGTTTTCTTCCTCGTCTGGAGTCGGCAGGGGTTTGGAGGCAGTTTCTCTGGGCTTAGTCGTCTGGATGTTTCAGGGATTGTTATAACCACAAGTATGTCTTTTATGTGGTGCTTAGAACATCCCATGTTTATTCCCAACTGTTCCTCACAACAGCCCTATCTTGTCTTACAGAATTGGAAATGAGTGCTCAGAGAGGTTAAGCCACTTACTGGAGGCCACGCAGCTGGGAGGGCGGAGCAGGTCTTCTTACTCGGGTCCCAGCTTTCCTGGCTGCTCCTTGTTCTTCCCACCGGCACTGACTGAGGGGCCCAGAGAAGACACCCGTGCTCCGCCCTGTCTCAGCAGGGCCTGGGGGACCATGTCCCTCATCCCATGGCTCCGGTGGAATGAGGCCCCGCCCCGGCCGTCCTCCCGGAGTCCAGCTGAGATGGTGCTGGATACGCTCATGATGGAGCTGGTGGGGCAGATGCGAGAGGCCGAGAGGCAGCAGCGGGAGCGCAGCAACGCGGTCAGGAAGATCTGTACCGGAGTGGACTACAGCTGGCTGGCCAGCACGCCCCGCGCCACCTACGACCTCAGCCCCGGTGAGCGGCTGCAACTCGAGGGTGTCTGCGCCAAGATCCACCCATCCTACTGCGGGCCCGCCATCCTCAGGTAACCCCTGGCCCCCGCGCGGGGCCCAGCTGTGGGGCTGCAGGCTCCGGGGAGGGTGGGTGCGGGGGCAGGACCTGCAGTTACCACGGCTGGAGCCAGGGGGCCTGGCTGACCCAGTCCTGTTAGAAGGAGCCCGGCAGGGGGAGGATTCTGAAAGTTGGCGGGGGACGTCAGGCAGGCGCGGCTCCTGACCCAGGCTCCTGAGCTCTGTCCGACAGGAGAGAAGCCCAGGCCTTTGACCTTTCTGCTCTCTCTGTCCTGACGGTAGTTATCCTGGGCTTTTACAAGCTGGCTCCTTCCCTGTTAGCTCATCTTCCACATTACCTTCTCAGGGAGGTTTCTCCAACAACAACGATCCTATTTCACACTAGCTCTCCTAAAGTGTGTGTGCGTGAGTGTGTGTGCGTGTGTGTGCACGCGTGTGAGTGGTTCAGGGCCCTCAGGCACTGAATATTTAAGAACTTGGCTACAACAGTGCCCTGACCTTAAATGTGACTTGGTAGACCCTCGGCCTGCGCAGTCCCGTGTCCGATGGATTCGAGGTGGAAGAAGCCGAGCCCAACAACCCAAACTTCTTCAAAAGTAACGCAGGTTCTGTACTCGCATTTCCCAGACACGCGTAAAGAGAGGCAGATCCACGGGAAACCATCTTAAAATCCCCCTTAGTCCCCAAATCTCCTCTCACCCGCCTTTAACCAACATGTGTGTCTGCTGCACACCTCTTCTTGGAAAAGTTCCCTAAAAACTCCTCCCCGGTCTGTCTACACACTTTTGGATTCTGTCGTCTCTTTTTAGCTCCCTCCCGCTTCTCCCACTGGGCCGAGGATCTTACCCATTCCTACTATTCTCGCTCTGCGTCATGGAATCCCCCCTGCCCCCCACCCCATGTGTGTGGTTCCAGAAGCACCCTGGACGGGGTGGGGGGTTGAGTCAGGGCAGAGCACACCTCACGAGTGACGGGAAGCTGGGGACGAACACATGGTGACGATCGTCTGGCCACCTTTCAGGCCTCCTGTTACTGCTGAAAAATGAAAAGCTGGAGCGGAGCCGACTCTCCGCGTGGGGGGGAAGAACCCGGCAGTAAGGGGGTGTGGCGACTACCACTCACTGTTGAGCGCCACGAAAGACGTTTTAGGCAGAGGAAACCACTTGGGAAACTGCAGGGAGCCAGAAAACCCGGGGCTGGGGGGACACGCATGATTCTTCCTGGCTGGAGCACAGACAGGGGACAGGGGACCTGGTGTGCGTGGCCAAACAGCTCTGGGAGCTGCGGAAGGAAAGTCTCAGGGCAGTGACCTAATCAGACAGACCACTCTGGCCTGCAGGGAGAGGGCGAGCCCCCAACCTCACACCCCTGGGAGGAGAGGGCAGTGGGCTCCCCTTACCACACTGATGCAGTACCCCAAGGTGAGAGCCAGGAGTTTTTCATGTGTGAGCACATTAAACCTCGCCAAAAGGTGACTATGACCCCAGTGTACAGATCGGGAAGCTGAGGCTCACGGAGGCCAGACTGGCAGAGCTGGGATTTGAACTCAGGATGGGCTGAAGCAATGAGAGGGCAGGGTGGCTCCTGATTCGTTTCAGAAGTGGGGAAGTGGAGGACTTGGGACTTGACCTCAGGGGCCACTGGAAGCCCCTGGGGCCACGTGCCACAGCCACGTGACCACGCCACCCGCACAGGTTCCGGCAGCTGATGGCCGAGCAGGAGCCCGAGGTGCAGGAGGTGTCCCAGCTCTTCCGCTCGGTGCTGCAAGAGGTGCTGGAGAGGATGAAGCAGGAGGAGGAGGCCCGCAAGCTGACTCGGCAGTGGAGCCTGCGCCCCCGCGGCAGCCAGGCGCTGGCCGCCTTCAGGACACGCGCGCGCATCTCTCCCTTCGCCAGCGACATCCGCACCATCTCTGAGGACGTGGAGCGGGACGCGCGGCCGCCGCCCCGGAGTTGGAGCATGCCCGAGTTCCGGGCGCCCAAAGAGGACTGACCTGCCCGGACCTGCCCCAGCTCGGGGCATGGGGAGGGCATGGAGGACCTGTGACCGTCTGGGTCCTGGAACCTCCCCACCCGCCCGGACTGGGAGCCAGAGGCAACCCCTCCCTACCCCATCCCCGTCCCCCTTCTCCCACCCTCTCCCTCTCCCGCTGGGCATGGGCCACAGGGCCCAGACCAGCAAGCACTTGGAGCTAAAGCAGGGGCCCCTCCCTACCCCAGTCAGTCACCAGTAGCTGGAGCAGCCCCTCCCAGCCTTGCAGAGCCTCGGGGGCTTGGCAGACAGACCGCAGCCCATCCCGTCTCTGCTTCTGCCTGGAAGGGGCAGAGTTGCCAAGACCTGCGCCCTCATCCCAGCTTCCGAGTTGTCCCATTCACCCCGTCTCCCTGGGTAACGATGAGGGACCTGTTGGGGGGCGTCCATTCTCTGCTGGTGACTGGCTGGTCTCACCACTGCAGGTGGGTCACAGCCTCGTGCATGAATCAGCAAAGCTGGAAGGGGCCACAGAGGTCACAGGTCCACTCTGCTGGCTAGTGAAGGAGGAAACTGAGGCTCAGAGAGGGCCAGGCTCCTTCCTCCTGAATGGCACTCAGACCCCCACGGGTGGTGAGAATGTTCCTGGATGTGGTCTCTGTCCCTGAGTCCTTGAGTCCTGGGCTGTGACGGGGCAGGCCCAGAGACTGCGTCCGCACCTGCCTGTGTCTGACCTTCTCTTATCCTGGCGTCCAAGCTGCTCCCCAAGAAAGGTAGCTGGGGCGGAGGTAGATTGCCGTCACCCTAACCCACGGTGCCACCACCTGGGAGGCTGCCAGTCCCCAGTAGCTTCTTCCAGACGCCTCCCAACTCGCTGCTTTGGAGAGCCCAGGGCTTTGACTCTGGCCCCTTCTGAACCCAAGCGCTCCTGCTCTTGGCTTTCCCCAGGGAAGGCAGCGCCCAGACCCCTCACTGACGTGGAGGCACCTGCAGTGTTTCAGAAGAGCCTCCCTGCAGGTTAGAGCCTGATGACGGGCATGTGGATTCGCCACTGGGCAGGGCACCCACAGTGAAGATGAAGGCCTCACTCTGTGGGCTGAAGTGGTGTGGGGGGGACGGTGGGGAAAGTCTCCCCAGTTATTCACGCACACTCAGAAAATGCAAGTGGATCTTAACTGTAATGTAAATAAAAGGCCAGAAGATAAGTCAGCAGGGGGGAATCCATATATTCCCTCACCACGCTCAGTGGAAAAAGGGTGTTTTAATCTGATTTTGAATTATTTTCACTCGGATCTAGACAGAGAATCGTAGGGTGGAGAAAACCTCTCATCTGACACTGTCAAGGTGGAGTTGATTAGCTCACTCACATAACTGGTAAAAGTTGAGAATCATTTCAATAAAAAAATCTTCAACATCTTACATATTTTATGTGAAGACACTAAAAAGCTCAATTAACTGGGAAACTTTCAACATAGGTCCACACTGTTCGCTGTGTATGTATGTGTGAGGTGTGTGTGAGGTGTGTGTCAGATGTGCGTGTGACATGTGTGTGACGTGTGTGGCTGTCTGATAGCACCACCACACTCGGGTTTACTGGGCCACGTGTCCTTGAATCACAATAAGAACCGGTACAAACAAGTTTTGGATCAAACAGAGAGACCCTTGGTAAGCAGACCACTCAGCTGGCAGGAGCAGGAGTTTTGGGAAAGAAATGGGAAAGGATCTACCTGCCAGGAGCTTTCTGGGTGCCCCGGCTGTGGGCCAGCAGGAGGAAATGGGGTGTCAGGGGCAACCTGGTGGTGGAGGTGGGGTTCAGAGGTCAGTTAGGAGAATGTCTGATGTTTTCCACCTTCCCCGCCACCCTGCACGTACCTATTCTCCCCAAGGAAAAGAAAGACCTGCAGCTCTCAATGTCGTGTTGTTTTTTAAGTTGAAGTAACTGGCCACCCGCGAAAGCCTTCCCACCTACCTCAGTCAAGACAGATGGACACCCCCCCCCACCCTGTTGGACACTTGTCCTATGGCGGCGAATCCCAGCTGGGAATCACGCCTGTGAGATTCAGGCCATTAAAGGGAGTAATGATGTCTGCCTCAGCTGCTAGTTTGAAAAGTCAACATGTGAAAGAACAAAACAGTTGGAGAGGCTCCTTGTGAGGGTGTGACAGCAGCGATTGGCAGCTGAAGGGGTGAGGTTGGGGACACTCAAGACTCCCAGGACAGTGCTTTTGCATGCAACTTCACACGAACGGCCACTAGAGGGAGCCAGTGGAGTCGGAGCACTGAGTGGTTACACTTTGGTGGTTGCTACCAACATTTTCAAATACAGAAAAATAGAGGGAAAGTGTAAGGCGTCCCCACATTCCTATCACCAGAGTTTAAGAGTTATTAGCATTTTCCATATTTGCTTTATTTATTGTTTTGTGAAGTGTTTTGAAATAAACCCCGACACCATGACACTGCACCCTGAATAATTTCAATTGCACCGCAAAGGAATAAGGACATTTTCCCGGTCACAACGCCATTGCTCCCAACACAGCTATTAGTCATTCCTTAATATCCCTTCGTACCCAGTCCATATTCAGATTTCTCGGGCAGTTCCCAACAAGTATTCTTGCAGTTTATTTCTTTGAGGATCTAATCAAGCCCCATTCATTCACAAGAAAACTGCAGTCTGTTTTATTTTTGGTCACATTGTGCTAACTCCACAATGAAGCACTGTTTAAACTTAGAGTACTTATGAAAAAAACATTGGTACTAATATGCAGTAAATTAATGACTGCACAAGAATGATAACAATTCTGAAAATTAGACTAAGGACACTCTTTACTCAGGTCCTTGCTGTGTTCATTTGATTAACATTCTTTCAACAGCAAACAAGATCCTTTAATACCTTGAAGTAACGTTAAAAATCAGCAGTGACCCTGTGTCTAATTTGACTTTTCATTTGATTAGAATTCTCTCCACCTTTATGTGTTTTATTTTCTCAAACATGCTTCCAAATAGCCACCTAAAACCTTCTCCTTTCTTGCTGCTCAGGAACAAAACACTAAAATTTATCCAAAACACTCAGGGGAAATCTCAGGAATTCTCAGAGTAGGTCATGAAAAACGCTTGTCTTTCTTTGAAGCCATCGTGCAACACACAGTGAAATTTCAGTCTGTCTTAATGTTCACAGGGCTTCCTAATGGAACACAATGTTATTCCAAAATTCATTCATCAACAAATAGCTTTCAGACAGTTATTTTAAATTTACTTAATACCCTGTTAAAGTAGGAAATTAGCAGTTGTTTCTTTTTTGTGAATATTATTATATATTGTATTTAATTAGCACGTCAGATTTAATAAGGTGCTAATCTAAAAATAAAAACATTGACTAAAAATCGTGACTTTATCATAGTCAAGGGGGAAATAAGAAAATAATATTTCAAGTTTTTAAAAATGTCCAAGAGGTTTGGTGTTCCTGAGAAGGACATGCAGGCAGGCCAGGGTAAAGAACATGCGAACCTGTAGAGAATCTTTATGCATTTATTTGAGCCAAGCTGCTGACAACTGCCAGGAAGCAGAATTCAAGGGATTGAGAAATGTTCGAGAGAATGGCAGTTCGGCACCTTCTTCATGAAGAATCAGAGGAGGAGCCGCACGGGGGTTACGTGAAGTCCGCTGGTGAGAGACCAGGGAGGCTGGAGACAGCAAAACCGGAAACAGTGGGGGGGGGGGATGAAAGATAAAATGACAGACACACACTTCTTTCACACAGGTGGGTACAGGGCAGTTAACAGTTGTCTATTAACACGATAGCAAGTAACAATGAGGGGATTTGTAGTCTGTTTGTGCTCCAGGGGTTTGGGGGAAAGGGAACTTACCCTGACCTGCCAAACCTGTGTTACCACAGATGCAAAAAGACAGGCTCAGTTAAGGTGACGGCTGACCTTTGTTAGGGGAAAATACTGGTCTAGGACACGAAATGCTTTTAGTTAATACATTTTGACTTTAGACCATCCTTTGTGGTTGCTGTAGGTCTCCGGGTTGGTAAGGCTGCCTGGCAGGCTACCCCTGGGCTTGTCAGGGTAATCCGTGGCCCCTTTTTCCCATGGGCACAGCTGAGTGTATTGCATTCCACTCAGGAACAAATGCAGCATTCCCCGAGCCCTGTGCTCCAACGTGGGAGCTCCGCAGCCCATTCCCCCCTCCTGGCTAGGGTTTGGTGCTGGTAGAATCCCAGGAACAAGCCATTCCCTCCACTGGGAGCTGAGTCCTGAGGCTAACAGCTTAGAACCTGCTTCCGGCAGCTCCTTGGGGCTGTGGGCCCCTCTGCTCAGGCCCTCGCTGAGAGTCCAGGCTTCAGAACACAGGGCGGAGGAGATACTGTTGAGGACAGTGTTCCTTAGTAGAAAAGGGATGAAGCCACAATGCAAAGAAGCTGCTGCAAAAGTGATGGGAGAAATACAACTTTATCCCAATAGTCCTGTCCAACAATATTGCTATGGACAGAAACGGCTTCGTCATCAAGAAAATTCCTTTAATTTCCATAACAGATGCAAGAAGAAAGTGTCCTTGCCCCTTCCATCTGTCTGACTGTGGCAGACAAAACTGAATGGGGAATACAGAAAAAAAAGAAAAATATTTTAAATTAACCTTTGAATGTTCTTTACAGCTTACAGAGTGCTTTACCTACAATCATCTCATTTGATTTGACCTCGAGGTGAGATGCATTGTTTTGCCTCAGGTTACAAGCAAGTGCCAGGCTGAACTTGGAAGCCAGCATTCTTTCCACAAGCCACACTGCTTCTCAGAGTTAGAGATCCTTTTATGCTCTCAGAATGGCCCTCGAAGTCCTTACCACACTGATGTCAATGTACATGGTTTTCTGTTCACTCCCTACCTGTCCCAGCCATTCCACTGCCTCCGGTAGTGTGTGAAATCCCTAAGCGCAGGACCGAGGCTTGGTCTCTGGGTCTCTATTTCTGGGCACTCGGTGGGTACTTTACAAATGTGCTTACTTTACAGGCAGATGCATATAGACAGACACTTGGAGCTTACGCAGGGCAGCAGCGAGTGAAGCCATGGATGAACAAGGAGGCAGTTATGATGTAGCTATATCGCTCATTAGATTGTAAGCTCTGTGAGGCCAGGGTCCATGTCTGATTTCAGCTGGTATGCCTGGCACAGAGTAAGTGATCAATACACTTCTTAGGAATTCACTCACTCATTCATTCATCAAATATTTACTGACTTGCCTCTGTGTGTGGTAACCATAAAAGGGATGAGGGCAGGGATCTGTTAATGTTCCGGACGGATAAGAAAAAGCCGAGCTTTGAGCTCTTCTCTGAATTACTGCGGAAGTTTTCCTGGAAGAGGTGGGATTCCCAAGGGCACTTCTGGCCAGAATGATGCTGGTGTGTGGGATCGCAAAGTGAATCCCGATTGCCAGACTCCCTTGTTTTGCCAGTGCCTTTTTTTTGACTCAGTGTGGGCCTTGAGACTCTTCTCCCTTAAAACAGGTTCTCTGTGGAGAGAGAGGTGAGACGATGACTCTAGAACTACTCTGCTTTCCCTGTGGTCAGATCTAGACCCGCTCCCGTCAGGAAAGGTGCTTAAATTAATTCTTTCTGGGATTTGGAAGGGGACACAGAAACCAATGACCAGGGAAATGTCTCTAAAGGAAGCCACAGAGAGCCACAGAATTCAGTCAACTCCATCAGAGTCCAGAGATAGGGGTGGCTGTGTGATTCACCTTCTTTGGTGAAATCTTCATTTTGTCTGGAGGTCAGGGCTGGGTGGTGTGCAGAGGCCGTGGGCAGGGGCTCAGGCCATGGATGACCCTGCTCTTTGGAGCAGGCATTTCTCATGGAACTGAGAGCGGGGAGGGGGGCTAGGGGACAGCTCTGTGGGCCTCATTTTCAGCAAGTGATTTTGAGAGGCTGCACTTCTGAAAGGAAGGGTTCTTGGCCTGAGAAAATGATTCCCCATGAGGTTGCTTAAAGTGTAAGTGCTGAAAACAGGATTTAGTTTACAAAGAACTGAAGGATACACAAACTTTTGGGCAACATACCTCTCGCCAAAAGGCATGTACACTTCTATAGGCGGATTCCTAGAATTCTAGAACCAGAACAAACCTCCAGGGCTCAGCCTCCAGGCAAAAAAACTGACCTGACTGAATTTTAGCACCATCCATTGTATACAGAGCTGCACATCAGGACTCACAAACGCACTACAGATTTATTATAATTTCCCAAACTGGAGGGTTTACCCCTTGGGGTAAGAATCTAGAGCAACGCTGTCTAGTTGCTGTGACAGAAACACAGGCAGAGCTGGCAGAAGCTCCAAGGGCGCTCGTGACCCCCAGGGCCAGCTCCCTGGGCGTGCGACCTGTCCTGTCACACAGGGCCCCAAGCTCAGAAAGGCCCAACACTGGATTTAATGCTATGCTGTTGCCATCTTGAAATTCTTCACTTTTTACCAAAG